ACACTCAAGAGTTACAAACTACGAGGCCGGACAGCAAGTATCCATTCGGTGGTCCAAGAACACACTATGACGAATCGATGGCCCAAACACCTGGTCAGCGGTGAAACCAGAATGCGGAAAACACTGGAGGAGCGTCGATTTCAGTTCATGTCTAATAAGTAACGAGGACAAGTCGGATAATGGATATCTTACCTCAACTTTGTGTCGGCCTTAGTCTTTCATGAAATCAATGGTGGGACAATGATCCCCATCTACATGCTATCAGCCAGAAGTAACTCATTTTAAAGAAAACAGACAAGTAGACTACAAGTACCTGCCAAACATAGTGTATGGTCTCTTGCTTTCTTCCAACGAGAGTGATACTCAATTATCAACTTAGTAAGGAAGAAACAAGAGTGGCCCAATCGGCAATCCAATCAAGGATCTCCTAATCCTGAGCCCGAAATTCTATTGAGTGAGTAAGATGAAGAGTCAGAGATGAGTTAATTGCCAAGAGGCATTCCCTGAAATACCTTTCATCGAAACTCTCGGTCGTCGCAATATTACCCTACTTGACCATTTACTGAGGCTAAGGACATACCCAAAATTTTTACTGAAAGACCGCCTTCTGAACTGATTACGGAATAGTTTTCGATCCCCTCCATAGTACATACTGCCATGTACATTTTCGATGTAGTCAGCAGCAACGATCACTTCAGAATTGCGCTGTTCTGTTCCTCACTATTTGTGACAACTCTATCTCCTTTGACTCCAACAACTCCGCCTTTGCCGATCCAAACGCTGAAGGAGAAATGTCAGAGACCGTGGCATAGTCTCCGAAAAATTTAGAAACCTGCCACTCTTAATATCTTCATCAATCGAACATTATACCGACAAGATCGTCGTCCGAGTTACCAAACGCCGAGGAGGCTGATGAAGGACAGATACAGTCGGCCAAAAGCAGACAAAAAGATATCAGTGAGTAAAGCAGCCGATACCAGTTACGTAAGAAGGCAGACAGCCGGATGCCATCATAGAACGCCACATCAGGCTCCACGGAACAACAAGGACAGTAGAAGTTTAGTCCGAAATTTGAACATGTCCTCACTCAGAGGGACACCTCGTCAACGAAGCGCCAAGGCTCTGGACTCCTGAACCTCAACGGATGGAAGCTATTCTACTCAGGCGTCGATATCATGACTAGCGCTCAGGTCGGTGTTGGTATTTTGGCAGAACCCAACAGCGCCGATAGAATTATTGATTGGAAACCTGTGAGCGGAAGGGTGGCAATCCTCCAACTGAAGCTAAAATAAGCTAAAGCGTTGACCTTGGTGTATACCTGTGCGCCCAATTTGGAGGGAAAATATGATACCTGCCATGAGGAAGTGCAGTGCACTCTATGTGAAGTGCCAAACACGGAGTCCCTCATACTGATGGGCAATTTTAATGCGCAAATCGGAGTAGACACTGAGAGGTGGAACGGCGTGATTGGAAAATACGGCCCTAGCGACCTCAACAATAACGGCATGAAGTTGCTGCAGTTTGGTGTAAACAACGGATTGTCCATTATGAACATCTTTGAGCATCGAAAAGTGCATCAGTATACCTGGTACCGGGAAGCTTGTGCACAGAAAGCGATGATCGATTTGATAATCTTATCGTCTGACCTGAGACGCTCAGTAATGGATGTTCGCATCAAGAGAGGCGAATAGAGCTAGACTTATCAGCCGATCATCACCTTGTTGTTGGCACGCTGCGCCGTAAGAAATGGAGTACCGTACGAAGATCCGGTGGCAGAAGCAACCAGAGAATCAAATGGGAAACATTGTCTTCGGTAGACACGAGAGCGAAATTTGCAAACAACATCGCACGACGGTTTGAACAGATCCCAGTGATGACAACTGATGTTGAAACCGAGTGGCAACTCATTTGCCTTACACAAGGCTGCCGCCCAACGATGTGGATTTAAATGGGTTGGCCTGCCGCCTGGAGATCAGAAAATAACTTCGTGGTGGACACGAGAGGTACAAGTGGCAATTAAAAAGAAGGCAGCCTTCAAGAAATGGCTTGGAAACAAAGAGCCATGTGATATGCCGAAGCATGCAAGGCGGTACGGAAACCAGTGGCGAAAGCCAAAGCTGATTCCTGGAAGAAGTTT